ACGAGCATTAAACTATAACCTGACAACTTATGGACTTTTATTTAAACACCCTTACACATTCGTATCGCCTTTTCTACACACTAACTGGAATACAATACGACGCCACGCATCCCGCGCTTTCTTCTATTGTTCATCGATCGGGACAACCTAGATCGCTTACTCGATTGGAATGGCTATAGACGGCACAACGAACATAGATCGCCAAACTCATGGGTTCTAACAATTCTTTTCTTTTTTTTTAATTCATTATTCGATATGTTACGTGCGGGGTAGACGTAGTTGGTAGATGATCACTCTGCGGTGGTTTGTACTCCGACGAAACGCTTAAACACCTTCTTTTGTGAAGGAAAAGTATTATGGGATTCGGATTGGATCTAGGCTTATACAAGCCTCTCGTTCGTTGAATACAGGGTTTGGAAATACGCACCAAATAATCACCCAAAATTGAATAAATAACTATTATATATTATGCCAAAAGAAATGAATCGTTATAAAATCGAATTGTTACACTTTCCGGACGGGAATACAAGTATGATAATATGATGCGTGACCAAAAGATATTAGAATTTTCTTAACTACTGAGGACAGAGTATCCAGATTTTGGTTAGGACTCACCGGATATTTAGACGAACAGAAACGGTTAACGAGTTTGATGGATCGCTGCCTTCTCTCTCTCTCTTCCTCTCGACGCACGGATGATGGAACAATGTGATTGATAAATGAAACTATGACTTTACACTAACAATAAGTCTAAATGTCTTTACACTAACGGTTCTATTTGTAAATAGTTTCAAACTTGAGTCTTTTTTTAACGAGGAAAACTGAGTCTTTTTGCGTGACACTGTTATACACGAAACTCTGCTCGAAGTATTTCGAAATACCTGGCGTTCCTCCGATAGAGAGACCGCGCATCTTGCGACTGTATGGCCGACTGTGTTCGCTATTGCCCGTAATCGGTTTTTTATTATGGCTGAAAATGCTGATTTTGCATGGGTTGAGAAAGAGTTCACTAGCATATTGACCTATTGGAACGTCGGTGCGTTGGCACATATTTTCGGCGCAGCGTTTCGAGAAGTAGAAAGAATTTGTTGACGTTTGTGACTCTAAGGAGGTCAGTCAATGAACTGATTTCGTGATTGCTAACCCTTTCGTAACTTTGAAATCGGAGATAATAGAATTGTTCTTTAGTCGGGACGTAACAGATACAACTTTTGCCTATCGAGTCCTTTTATACCGACATGGTGCCGATGCACTTGATCACGACCACGATTCGAACGCAGAGCATACTCAACACTCTCACGGTTCAGCTCGCGCTCTTATTGGACGGTATTTTTCGTCAATAATTTGAAAACGAAGCCTTAACCAGTGTAAGGAATATTCGGAACGGGCAATTAAAAAGTATAAAAGTGAGTAAATTCAATAAACTGTGGGCGCTTTCCAAAACAAGGCATACTCTTTATTCTAAACGGTCGTACACATTGACGGTCAGAACAAGAATGTTCTGCCGTTCCAAAAATCCCCAGTCATGGGGACGCCTTTGACAGTATGCCCTTTTGTTTATGACACCCCCAAGTTGTATGACTTTCCCTTAAGAAGGGGAAACGCGCTGACAGAACGCACATGGCCTGCCTCAATCGTTCGTCTATTTCGAATTTTCTAACACCAGCATTTTGGCAAAGGAAAAAATTGTTTAAAATCACCTCAGCAATCATTCTTCCATGAGATTCGACCTAATTCTGGGCCACCATGTATAACTTCATGTACTAGTAGTGGTAGTTGATTTCGGTTCCTAAGAATAGCACTCAATGAATTATTTATTCAACGAGTCAAACTTTCTTCGAACTGCTCTTTCGTTGCCTTGCACAAGATTCGGTATATTAGTCATAAACATCACGTTCTTTGTGTGTCCATATATAAGTTTCCAACTATACAATGCGGAACGAGGATATACCAGCAACAAGTAATTACGTAAGTGATGCTTCCGTCAAAGTTAGGTATAGGTAATTCTAAACTCTATAAAGAAAACTGAGGACCGTATGCTATTGATTGAAAATAATAAATTGAATCATTAATAAAAGAAACCAAATGTGATTCAGAATGTATTCTGAAAAATAATAAAATAATTTTTAACAAAAAACAAATCCGACTTCGAAATGCACTAAAAAGTGTCAAATAATTTCTGTTTCATTTATACCAATATTCCATAGCTATTAATAATATCTACTTAATCGTTAAATAGGATACCAAATACATTTCAAAGTTTTCGGAGGCGGCGCAAAATTAAAAACTTTTCCTCTACTAAGAAGATCCTAACTCGGACGTCGGCAACCTATGATAAATCACCCATTTGATAATTTCAAGTAAATAATATTCAACGGGAATCAACAAACCCATTGCGAAATAACTATACTGCAGTTCACGAGTGACCGCACTTAACTCGCGCAGCTAGTGACCTACTGTGGTCTAGGGAGATTTTTAATAGTGCGTGTGATTCCCCTTTACAGCTTGCTTCTTACTTTGCGTTCACATCATTTTTTTCTTGCGACAAATAATAGGAATTTCATTGTATCGTGAAACTTTACAATATCATCACCGGTTATCAATTATCGTATGTCATATATTTCTGCCCGCCATTTATATGGTCGCAAAGTATAATAAGAAGCAAGCTGTAGAGGGGAATAACACACGTTATTAAAAATCTCTCTAGACCTAGTGAGCGGCGCGAGTTAAGTATGGTCTCTTGTGAACTGCAGTATAGTGCATGTACATCAGGAGGGCGGCTAATTTCTCATACAATCGTTACAATTACAAATGTTTTCCCGGAGCTATAATTTCTCTCTTACGACTTATTAATTACCAAGTTTGCCATACCGCAATCAAATCGTTATTGGCAGCATCGTTTGTTCGAGTATTTTTAATTTTGCGCCGCCTCCGAAAACTTTGAAATGTATTTGGTATCCTATTTAACGATTAAGTAGATATTATTAATAGCTATGGAATATTGGTATAAATGAAACAGAAATTATTTGACACTTTTTAGTGCATTTCGAAGTCGGATTTGTTTTTTGTTAAAAATTATTTTATTTCACACTTTTTAGTGGAACCTGTAGTATTTTTAGGATAGTGTAAGGTGATTTTGGGTTTCTGTTACATAGCTAATAACCATAAACCTAAAAAATATTGACCAAATTTAAATGGTTAATAAACAACAAATTCCATAAATTTTTGCAAGTGGGGTCATCGCGGATATACAGAATGTCACGCGACTACCTCTACAGCCGAAGAGGGATGATTGCTAAGGTGATTCTAAACAACTTTTTCCTTTTCCAAAATGTTGGTTAAGGCTTGTTTTTATAGTTATTAACAAAAAACACCGACCAATCCGAGCGCCTACAGCGCGCGGGCTCAGGGACTGCAATGTCGGCTATGAAAACCGGGCCTGACGTAGGTCGCAAACGAACGGCTCGGCACCCCGTTGGCATAGCACAATAAAAAATTGGGCGGGTAGAACATTTTTAGTCGTTGTTTATACTGAATACGGAACCTAATCTCTTGTCGCCTATCATAATGTAAAAAATGAAATTCTAAGCATTCTAAACAACAAATGAAAATGATTGAAATGGAATAATTAATAAACGTTTGAATTGGAAGCCACGTTAATGATGAAAAATTTGAAAACAATGTAAATGAAACTTTCGCATTCGTTCGTAAATTAACCTACTACGCTGAAAACAGATAATTGTCACTTGGAATCGAGGAAACACGTTTGGTAGAACAGCAATTTTCATGATCGGGCCAGTGAACACCCCTCATTTATTGCACTTATTGTTAGGTGTGAATAATAGGCGAGGTGTTTGCTCATCGAATGTCCAGAATCGACACAGTGATCTAGTGGCAATTATTTGCTTTGAGCGTAGCAAGTTAATTTAGAAACGAATGGGTAAGTTTCATTTAAATTGTTTTCAAATTTTGCATCATTAGTGTAGCCTTTAATTCAAACGTTTATTAATTATACCACTTCAAACATTTTTATTTGTTGTTTAAAATCCTTAGAATTTCCTTTTTTACATTATGACAGGCAATAAGAGATTAGGTTCCATATTCATTCTAAACAGCGACTAAAAATGTTCTACCAGTTCAGTTTTTTTATTGTGCTATGCCAACGGGGTGCCAAGCCGTTCGTTCGCGACCAACGTCAGGCCCGGTTTTCGTACCCGACACTGCAGTCCCTCGGACTGCGCTTTATCCGCGCTCGGATTGGTCGGTGTTTTTTGTTATTAACTCGCAAACCAAGCCTTAACCAACAATTTGGCAAAGGAAAAAGTTGTTTAGAATCCCCTTAGCAATCATCCCTCTACGGCTGTCGAGGTAGTCGCCTGACACTCTGTAATTCTTACCAAATATGAAAGGTTTCATCGCGAACGATACATTCCTTGCAGAGTAACATGAAGGCGTAGATTTTTTGCTATAATAGTAGTTATTAACAAATTCAATAAATTTTTGCAAGTGAGATCATCGCGGATATACTTCCTACTAAATGTGAAAGTTTTCATCACAATCGATACATTCCCTGCAGCATAAACGCCAGAAGACATAAATGAAGTATTACGTTTTTTGCGACATAAGTCTTTAGGAATGAAAAAATGCAAAATATTTTTTTTACTGGACCAATGAGGAGTTACACTCTACAGGAGGCAAAAAGTTTCGTTCCGATTGGTTCATCCGTCTCTGAGTAATCGGCGAACGTACGTCGCACGTACATGACAGTACGTTTTTCTGCAATAAAAAGCGTTCGGAATGAAAAAATGCAAAATGTTTTTTTAACGGGACCAATCGGGAGACATACTCTACCAGATGCAAAAGGTTTCGTTCCGATTGGTCCATCCGTCTCGGCGTAATCGGTGAACATACATAAAGAAAGAAAGAAAAAAAAAAAAAAAAAAAAGTTACATACACATCGAGTTGAGTATCCTGCTCTTTTTCGAAGTCGGATAAAAAATATGATGTCCATCGCTAAAGTTGTGAGTTCTGTAAAATCCGGCGCTCAGTCCATGCAGCCGCGTGGTTTCAATAGGGCTGAAGTAATGTTTAACAACAGTAAAGAAGCGAATCTATTCCTGGACTCTCCTGCTCTTCATGACTCTGGCATTTCGGCTTTTTTCCCCAGACAGAAGATCGAAAAAAAGGGCCTTCTCAAAGGCATTTGTCTCGACGTTAGTATGGAGGAACTTGTCGAGCTCTCTCTCTCTCCATGCAAAATCACTTTCGCAAAACATTTAAACAGAAAGATACGTGATCCTAACTCCAAGGAGATATCCTGGGTTCCGTCTGAAACCGTCCTCCTAACCTTTGAAGGGTCTGTAGTTCCCGAGAAGATTCAGGTGCTCGGACTTCTCAACAAAAATATTGAGCCTTACATCGAACGGGTGAGAACCTGTGTCAATTGTGGAGGCTATGGACACACCGCTTCTAGATGCAGAAGACCAACCATCTGCTTCAACTGTGGCGAACACAAAAAAGATGAACAGCACTCCTGTAACGCTCCTACTGGTTGTCTTCATTGCAAGGGTGACCACTCTACCTTCCACCCGGATTGCCAAACTATGATCTTCAACCAAGAGGTTAATCGAACCCTTGCCTTCTACGATGTCTCTATATATGAAGCACTTGCGCAAACCAGAGAGAAACTTGGTCTTGTAAAGCAAAGACCTCCAAGACAGTCATCCGCTATCTCATCCAATCCCTCATCATTTCCTTCTCTTCCTCCATCTACATCTAAAAAAGAATACACTTTGAGAACCATCGGTGGCATTCAGAAGGAGCGCCCTGCTAGTCAATGGAATAACAATATCCTAAAAACGTACTAAAAAAATAATACCATTGTCGGCAGCTCTTCTTCAATCATTTCGATACCATTGGAATCTCCTCAGAAGGAATCTTCTTCTGCTAAACTCGCATTGCATTCCTCCAAACCTTCAACATCCTCTCACACAAACCGGGAAACAACCCAACAAAACAGCAGCTTATAATCCAAATCTCTTCCCACCAGCAAATTTCTCGTCAAAAACATCTCTTCCTCTTCAATCTCCAAAAACAAGTCAACATGGATACTGCACAAACAGCCAATTTCAACGTGCTGTTTTGGAATTGCTGGAACATTGTCAGTAAGAAGCCAGATTTAGAGCTTATTTCGTCCTCATATGATGTTATAATTTGCGTTGAGACTTGGCTCAACCCTACCTTGTCATTTAGTCTTCCTGGTTTTTCTATAATCAGAAGAGACAGATCTTGTAGTAGGGGCGGTGGTATCGCCATCTTCTTAAAGAAGAACCTCCTCTGGTCCCACATCAGCTCCATTTTCATCGATGATAACTTGACGGAATCACTCACCATCCGTATTAGTCTAAGCGACTTACATCTCACCATTTGTACATGCTACAGACCCCCGTCTTCGGATTTCGATCAGGACAAGTGGTATCAGCTCCTGCAACAACTTCAACAGTAGGGACCATTTATTCTGGTCAGTGATTTTAACTGTCACCATGAAGCATGGAACTGCACAAATAATTCACGGGCAGGGGAACATTTTCTTCAAGTTCTTGAAGACGCAAACTGTATGATTCATAACACCAACACCTCGACATATCTTGCACACTTCAACCAGCAAGGCAGTAATCTTGATCTTATCATTTCTCCCTGCAATTTTGCTCACAAGATACTTACTTCTCAAATCAACGACCCCTGGGGTTCTGATCACTTTCCCTTACACATAACCGTGCAGACTACCCGTTTCATCTTCAAACAACGGCGTAACAGACTCACTACAAAACGAACTGACTGGCGCGCTTACTCTGATCATCTTGAATCTCTCACTCCTGTTCTCCTCTCTAGGGAGTTTCTTGACTTACAACCTCTCGATCAGTACTCGGTCTTCGTTGAGATGATTCAACAATCCGCTGAATCTGCTACCCCTGCTTTAAAAGGACATTCTAACGGTCGTCTCAAAAATCCTGTTCCATGGTGGGATCAGGAGTGCAGCAAGGCGATTCGTCTTTCTAAGCCTGCCTCTTCAAATGGCAACACACCGGTTCCTTTCAGGATTGGATTGCTTATAGTAAACAGCGGGCTTCCACTAGGAAGACTCTCAGGAAAAAGAAGAAGGAGAGTTTTAAAAAAATGGCCAGCGAACTGAACCGGCAGTCGGATTTAGGCCTCTTCAGGAAACGGATCAAGGTCTTTAAAGACAAGTGGACTAATTCTACTGCTCCCACTCAACAGTCCAGCCTCAGAGATTACCATAATTTGATCGACAAACTTTGCCCGCCTTGGGCCTCTCGTTGTTGCACATTCTCTACCCGAAATTTTAACTCTTTTGTCGACACAGGCTTCACCCTCTTTGAGTTAAACTCCGCTTTGAATAAGGTTAACTGCAAATCAGCTCCAGGTCCAGATCGCATCGACTACCAACTTATTAAACTTCTTCCTCTTAAGTGGAAGCTGTCACTATTGGATATCTTTAATTCTATTTATGAGAACAATTTGTTCCCAGAGCAATGGCATGACAATACCGTCTTCTTCATACCCAAGCCGAATCAAAAAGGTCTTCGCCTTATCACACTCTCTTCCAACCTATGCAAGTTACTTGAAAGATTAATCTCTCAGAGACTCTATTCGTGGCTCGAGTCGATGGGTCTTCTGCCGGAACTTCAATCCGGTTTTCGTAAAGGCAGATCCACCGCTGATAATATTCTTGCCTTCACAACCCTGGCGCACACTAACCTACTTAATCGGCGCACTACGGCTGCCGCTTTTATTGACATTGATTCAGCCTTTGATCGTGTCCTACCAGATCTATTGTTAGCTAAACTTGAGTTACTAGGGATTTCTGCCAACCGCCTTTACTTCATCGCCAATTTACTTTCGGGCAGAAGATCTCATTTCCAGGTGCGGGATGATAGAGGATTCCCACTTGAGATCACACGGCACAAGAACATTGGTGTTCCGCAGGGCGGCGTCCTCAGTCCCCTGCTGTTCATTCTCTACATTGCAGACATCGACTGCAATCTTCCTAGCAACATTCGAGTATACAAATATGCCGACGATATTGTTATTTGTGCCACTGACGATGATCCTAGTGGTGCCACTGCATCCCTGGAAATTGCTACCAACATACTAAACAAAAACCTTGAGCAAATAGGCCTTAGCATCGCAGTCCATAAAACTAAATTTTTCTCACCACATCAATGAGCTATGTGCTTACACTCGCAAGACCCTCAACGTTATTAAGTTTCTTCGAGGCACCTGGTGGGGTGCTCATCCTGACACTCTTCTGACCATATATAGAAGTCTCATTCGCTCCAAAATAGGAGCGAACTGGGTTCTACCCAGTTCTATGTGACACTACTATAGGGCTCAGTTTGAAGAACTCAGATGACATCAATTCAAAATTTCAAGAGATCCTTTCTTCTAGTTATAGAGGATCCACCCCAATATTTACTGATGGTTCTAAAACACCTACAGGGATTTCCACTTAGAGACCTTTCTCGCCGGTCCACACCTCAAGGAACTATATATTATATCGCGCTTTTTACAAAAGAACAATATTTCTATTTAATTAATAAGAGGGAAGAGAAAGGAGAATCCGAGGCCGTCAACGTCGCAAGTAAGTAAAAGCGTTGATTCTTCTATGTAATAAATACTTTTCTACTGACTTTGTATAAATTTACTGCAAAGATATGTAACACTTTCTGCTGTACCGGATCAATGAGCTTGTATGGAGCTTACGATCCTTTTTTTCAATAAATACAATACAATATCATCCAATCGATCTACAGTTATCGACGTATTATTCCACGTCATTAATTAATCTACAATATCGACTTTCTCCACGTAGCTCATTAGTCAATCTAACCTCTTACCTCTTTCGCCAGTTTCATTTCCTTTAAGTAACTTGTTTCTGTATACCTTTTTGATGCCTTTATTCATCTGTGTTCTTTGGTTTTTTCTCTTTCCAGCGGTATTTTTTGCACCTGTATCCGTTAAGAATATCCTTCGGAATTGATTGATTTTGTTTCACTTCTCTCCGATACGTACTGTATCTATAGCTATCGTCACGTGACCCCCTACTAAATTACCAAATTGAAATATAAAAATTTTAAAACTTAGATTTTTAAATTTAGGTTTTAAAATCTCTAAGTTAAAATTTCAAAATTTCGTAATTTCAAACTTCAAAACTCAAATTCCAAAGATAAACAAAGAAAATACTACTCCAGTTTCTTCTGAATTAAACAATGAGAATTTAGAATGTTACATGAATATAACAGGAAACTAAAATATTTAAGAATATTAGTGCAAAAGTAGTAAATAATAATGTAACTTTTAGTTTTCTGAACACGTTTGCCAATAAAAAGTTTTAAACAATAGTGTTAGAAAGCTGTTACATACACACCAAGAACCTTAGAGTTACACAATTATTTCACTTCATCAATTGATTCTTACAGTGAAATTATTTAAACTAGCTGCATTTGACATGCAACTCAATATTTAATGCTTACATGGTATCAACTATTTCAAGTATAATAAATTGCGCATGACATTAACATGCAACAATGCGACTAGCTTTAATTAAAATAAGCAGCGTGCTACGCGTAACATTATAGTAGAGAGAAGGCCGGTTGTTTTGTGAGCGTCGCGTTATGTGAATTGATAATGAATTATTTTACTTTCCTTTAGTCAACACTAAATTCATCCAATGACACATAAAAAATGTTGGGGGCACGTGGACCTTTTGGTATAGATTATATAAATCAGTTTGTTTTAATAAACACAAAAATAATGCTTTATTGATTTGAAATTAATATACATACATATATAACAGAAAAAATAAACATTTTTGGATTTGCTTTGCGATTCTTTTGGATTCGTAATTCTTAAACAAAGCTTCTTTCTTTTGCGCGGTATAATCATTCTAACTACGTATCTATTAATTATAAAATGTTACCAACCTAAAAACACAACTTATAGTATGAAAGTATAAATGGATCTACCAACTAAAGGAAGATTACTCCCTAACAAAAAACATCATACTTTTGTTGATAAGAATGGTTAAGATTTTCATTATCTTAAGTAATGAAAAATTTATTGTTTTAAATCGCTGCAAAACATTGCTAATTAGTGCATCTATGATTAATTAGGGTTGTGATTAAAACGTTTCTATAATACGTCTTTAAAGGCCGAATCGGGTCGAAAATTTAAAATATACATATACCTACTTTCGTGTATGTTTTACATTTGGCTTTACAATAACCTTTCTATATTCTGGAAATCTACTGTTTGTAAAGCTGGGTCGAAATAACCCTACAATTGTATAAACACGTGTTTGATTAAAACGGATCTGAATATCTGATCATTCTCAAGTAGGTTTGAATTAAAATGCAGCTTACCACCTGAATTTTTATTTTTATTCAATGCATGAATGAATAAATGCAAGTTTAAGGACATCTAGAATGAAATTCTTGCATAATAAATTACTTCCCCCTCGCCGTTAACAATATGTAATATAGTTGTTTTATTGTTTCATCTAATGTTCTTTGTGTAATAACGCTTTGTACTATTATGCGTTCGCATAAATAACTAACAGCTAAATATTAATGTGCCTATGTATTGTACGATAAGCGTAAAAATAAAGTTTTTTAAAATTTATTGCGTCCATACTCAAATTTAAGAAATAAAACTTTTTTATGTATGTACTTTTTTATGTATACAGGGTGTCCGCGCTAAAGTATGACAGGCGTTTTATTTCGTAACTATTGGAATTAGGAAGTAGGATAATCATGAAATAAACGAAACCAGAATATATTTATAAGTG